GGGGCAATTCTGATGAGTAAGTGGAGACTGTTGACATTCACTGATTTAAGGCATCCAGTAATGTACTTACAGCTTCTGTTCGGCATGCTATCTAGCTTCTTTCCATGTGCTGATCTTTCCCAAACTGGGCATGCATATTCAGCTCCCAAATAACAAAGTACAAGCACAGTAGTTAATAACATTGTTGGGTTGCCCCCTATATGGAAATGAGGGCATTTGATAAGCATCTTTAATATGTTATTCTGAGAACTAACTTTGTACTTTTTCTTTTCTACTTGTGCTTTATATGAAAGTGTGCAGTCTAGTGTCACTCCCAAGTAGATAAGATTCAGGCACTGGGCAAAAGCTATTCCATTCCAGGTTTGGATGTGTTGCTTACAAGTACATCATTTCTGAAAGTGGAAAAAACTAACCCGTGTTTTATTTGGATTGGCACATAGTTGCTTTTTGATTTAATAGTCTGACAACCTATTGAGTACTGATGCCACCGTGGCCTCAACCTGGACAAAGTTCCTAGCTTGGGCAGCTGTACACAGATTGTCTGCATAAATAAAACCCCTCATGCCTGGGTAGATTGGTAGATCATGAGTGTAAAAGTTAAATAACATAGGTGCAAGTACCACTGCCTTGGGGTAGATCATTACTTTTTTTTTGTTTTTAGCATCAGCTCTATTTATATAATTCAACATAGAATCATCAATTTTCTATCAAGGATCATATTATTTGTAGTAGTTGGTAATCTTTCACCAGATCGCACCTTTTTGCAAGGAGCCTCTGGTGGTTTACAGTGTCATGAGCTGCTGAGAGGTCTATGAACATGGCACCAGTGACCATTTCCTTTTTCAAAACCATCTTCAGTGTGCTGTGTGATGTCTAATATTTGACCAGTGCATAATTTCCTTGGGCAGAAGCCAGCTTGATCAGAGGTTAGGTGTTCTTTGAAAACTGATGACAAATAGTTTAAAAATAAGGCATTCAAAGAGTTTGAAAAGATTCATAGATTCATAGATGTTAGGGTCGGAAGGGACCTCAATAGATCATCGAGTCCGACCCCCTGCATAGGCAGGAAAGAGGGCTGGGTCTAGATTACCCCAGCTAGATGCATATCTAACCTCCTCTTGAAGACCCCCAGGGTAGGGGAGAGCACCACCTCCCTTGGGAGCCCGTTCCAGACCCTGGCCACTCTAACTGTGAAGAAGTTCTTCCTAATATCCAATCTAAATCTGCTCTCTGCTAGCTTGTGGCCATTATTTCTTGTAACCCCCGGGGGCACCTTGGTGAATAAAAACTCACCAATTCCCTTCTGTGCCCCCGTGATGAACTTATAGGCAGCCACAAGGTCGCCTCTCAACCTTCTCTTGCGGAGGCTGAAAAGGTCCAGTTTCTCTAGTCTCTCCTTGTAAGGTGGACTATGGGTCTGAAGATGACTATAGGTCTGAAGTTCTTTGGGTCTGAGGGATATTTTTCTGTATCTAGGAGAACTACAATATGCACTTGCCAACATATGTTAGGTATTTTGGATGTGATTACACATATATTGTACAATTCGGTTAGCCCGGCCCTTGTAATTGGTCTGAAATGTTTTATTTATTCTGTGCTTTGCCATCTTTGTCCCAGACAGTACTATCCTACAGGTAATTTCCTGCGGCCTAATATGGGGGCACATGTACATGGTAACACTTTGCGGTGAAGCTAATTAGTCAGCTCCACAGTAAAGCACGTGTGTAGATGTGCCCAATATGTTGGAAATAAGACCTCAGAGCAGATGTGTTATAATTGGCTCTTAAGTATTGGTAAATGGCTGGCCATCTGAAGCAACTGTCTTTTTTGTGCCTATGTATGTGCAGCCAAACCGTGTTTGAATTAACCCCTTGTTAATTCAGTTTAGATCCCTAAAGAATCTCCTTTTCCATAATCAGACAAATCAAAGCTTGTAATAACCATAAGTTATTACAGGGCAATTCCAAATCTGTCACACCTCTCATTCTAATACTTCATGATTTCTATGGAATATTAAGAGCAACAGTGAAGTCCTTGGTGAAGTTCCTGGAGAATTCTTTTTCAGGGTAACAATTCTCCAAAAGAATGTCTTTACTCAAGGAGTCAAAACTCTTGTGGTAGAGGTGATATCTTTTATTACACCAACTAGATAGTTACAAAAAAAAATTATTTACAAGCTTTCAGGTTCACACACCCTTCCTCAGGCAAAGGAGACTGCAGAGATTGTAAAATTGCTCCCAGATAGAAACAAAACTTCATTTTGCACAGGAGAACTGGAGGGTGGCATAAGTTCTCCTGGGTGGAAAAGTTCATTTAATGCACATTAGGCTTGAATAAAAGTTGGAGTAGTCTATTTACCTCAAAGGTGTCTGATGGAAAGCAGGATGTTGAATTTTTCTTCTTTTCTTGTTAAGTTGTTTCATATTGCACAGGAGAACTGGTGTATGGAATGGTTCTCCTGGGCAGAGAAGTTCAGTTTTGAAGAAGCTGCTCTGTGAGTATGCAAATTCAGCTCAAACAAAGGACTAGAGCAGGGAGTTTGTTTCGAGGTCTCAGGGTGTTATATTTTGCTTCTTTCTTGTAAAATTGTGAAGTTTTCATTTCAAAATGGCTAATTAAAATATCGTCCATGTTTCAGGAATATAGGTTGTAGCTGTGTTGGTCTAAAGGCAAAAGCATAGTTTCATAGTAGCTAGGGTCAGGAGGGACCTGAACAGATCATCTAGCCTGACCCCCTGCTACAGGCAGGAATGAATGCTGGGTTCACAAGACCCCAGACAGGTGATCGTCCAACCTCCCCTTGAATATGCCCAAGGTAGGGGCAAGGACCACTTCCCTGGGAAGTTGGTTCCAGATTTTGGTCACCCTAACTGTAAAATATTGCCTTCTGATCTCCAACCTAAACCTATTCTCCATCAGCTTATGACCATTGTTCCTCGTCACCCCAGGTGGTGCTGGGGAGAAAACAGCTCTGCCTATTTGCTGTTGATCCCCCTTGATGAGCTTGTAGGCAG